GCGTGGTACATTTCCAGACGTTTGTTACCTTTGCTACTTCCTTGGTAGCTAATTTCGATCATATGGTCATTTATGCTAAAAATATTAAAAAAATATTATGGACTTTTTTTTTGTCGGCCCTATGGGTTTTTACTTTTTATTCAGCTTTTACGATTCTTGATAAGGCCATTGTTGACATCATACTCAGGTCACCAAAATAGTCGTGTATAAAATAATTAATTTATTAAGATACTTATTTCGTATTGATTATATTAAAGAAAACCTTTAGCCTGCAACTGTAATCATGTTCTAGTAACGTGTTGCAACGTTAGTTTTGCTACCTCTTTAACATTCAGCACCAGTAGTTTCAAGGGGGTTTTGCAATTTCAGGCTCTTGAAACTTTGCCAAGATTTTTTTAGTTTATAGCATTAGCTAGTTATTTTCATCTCGTATTCTTTACTTTCTGTTATGCTTAGCTGATTGGAAATCCTTTGCAATGCTCCAATCTTTTTGTTCAAATGCCCCTCTCTGGTTGTAAGATGACAACAGGGCACAATTCATGTGAAGTAATCGGATCGCCAGAAACAGCAGAAAGCGATGTCGAAACTGAATCTAGTGATCATAGAATCATTCTTGTTTCATCTTCCACTTCATCATCCTCGTCTGAATCTTCGTCATCTGCTTCCTTTATTTCATCTGACGCTTCGCTGTACTCGATGCGCTATACAGGTACCGGCTCTATTGCCTCAGGACAAGCTCGCAACAGTCAAGCGCTTCTTTGTCCACGAAAAGCGTCTTCTAGCCAGCGGCGTCCCTCCGCTTTTTCACAGTCTCAGGCGCACCATCATCACCACGTACATTCTCATGCACATGCACCTACTCATCATTATCATAAGCAGCATCACCACCTACATGCCCAACTCAACATACATAATCAGCATCATTCCCATCAGCATCAGGAGCGTCAGCTTCTTCCTCATCATCATCACCGACAACAACTGCACAATCACTCGCATCATGGTTTTAGACATCGAATTGCGTATGGTCGCCGACGGTCTCCCCAACACACTCGATCCTCCACCCGAACAAGTGAATTCTGTTTCTCATTTATCTTTTTTATTTTTTTCAATTATATACTAATTCATTCAAGCTAGTAATCATTTAAACTCCTTTACTTATAAAAATTGCTTATATGATTTTTTTATCAATTGCCCACTGGAGGTCATTCACGCCATTCCACTTGATCCTCTCCTTCATATGTGATGCAATAACATCACAGGATCTAACTTTTTTTATTCTTTTTACTCTCTCATACCTTTCAGATTGAAAATAGCAAACAACTCTCCTCTAAGCGATTTAAAATTCATCGAATCCTTGCTCATTCTTTGACTGAAAGTGGCAGCAATCTTGGCTTGTAAATAAATAGATTTAAATCACATTTTAGTCAGATTATCTTATCGTTGCGTCCGTAATTGGTGTCGTTACTAGTTAGATGCTTATCAAACAAATATGAACTTCGGATTAGAAATTCTTTGACTTTACTTCAAGCTTGAACTCATACCAAGTTCGCTACTTATGCCCTGAAATTTAGTTGGCACTCGATCAAAGTTGGTCTCCCAACAATAAAGCAAGCACGCTTTTTCTATGATATACTCTTAATCCAAGCTAAATTTCCTAACTTAAGTGTTATATCTAAAACTTAAACGCTAACTTCCTTTTATTTGACTCGATCCACTCTTTAAGGCCCGCTATAGTTTAATTACGTTTCTGAAAATATGTGCATAAAGGAAATTTTAATTGCAATTATTTTTTTGCCCTTTTGAACTACTTTTCCAAATCTGTATTTTTTTCATTTGCGCCAATTTTAACTTACTTCCAGATTCGCACAACGAATCCTTGCCGATTGTCTTTCCGCCTGATATTTTTCTTCTGTCCCTTCCTGACGGTCATAAGGATCTGCATCTTCCTCCGGCTATCTGCAGTCCTGGACACACCCACGAGGGTCGGGTATATGCTGACTCCGAAATTCCACTTGGTGTAGATGCTCTCTTTACCTGTTTATTTACAGACTCTACCTTCTTCGACCGCTTTTGCGAGACACGTGGCACTTTTGATTTGGTTCAGGCTGACTGGCCACAGCTTTCCCACTGGCCAATCGCTTCCTCCAGTGCTTGTTCTACGGGTCTCTTGGAAGAAACTTCAGAGATTGGTGCGCTTGCTGACCAGCCTTCTTCTTCCGCTTTGAGTCAGGACATTCCCAAACAGAAGCCTTCCGAATACGCTTCCTCGCATTTGGGCCAAGCCGAGGTTCATATCCTGCGGAGAACTATATCATATACTCTTCGGCTTAAGCAGAAGATTGGACCAAGAACATGCTCTGCAGTTGAAGAGCAAGTAAGGATCTAGCCTGAAAAAAATGTTATTGAAATACACATTTTATCCAAACTATAATTATCCTCATTTTTCTTAGTGTTTCTAATTACTAAATTTTATTATATGTAGAATTTTTCGAATTTAAGCATCCCCTTACTCTAATTCTTCATACGTCTTATTCCTTCAGACCCACAAACTGAATCATTCTATTCTAATCCATCAAATTTCTTGCTGCCTTACTTGATAACCTGTTTTGCTATCAAAAAGTTTTTATGTGATATCTTATCAACTGTTGGCACTTTCGTATTTAAATGAATCTACTAAGTTTACTCTCTAGTTTTAGGTTGGCAGTAACCTACTAATGCTCTAAAGCATTTATCGCCATTTCCCTTAATTCTTGCTTTGTCAGATAATTACTGAATGCCATAGGGTTGAATCTTCTGCCTTGAATCTGCCCTTACATAGCAAACCATATACTTTGAAAATCTCAGCTCGTTTCAGTGAATAAGATGAATAATCTACTCTGTTTTTATAAATGATTGCACGAGACATCTATTAAAGATAGGTGGATCAAACGGTGTTATTATCTTCTTTTTTCCCCTTGTCAACGTATCTATCAATTATATAATAAATAAATCACCCAGAGTCATTTTATGAACGCCAAAAGACATACTAATATCTTCACAATGTATGAATTAAAGTAATGCATTGGGATATTCTTATTATTTTGATGCTTGAGATCAGTTTGTCTTAATCCATCTTCTGAAGCTTGATGCACTTTGAGATCCCAGAATTATTTATTAGATAAAGCTTTTCTGGAATGATTTATTAGCACGTCTTTTATGAGCGTTTTATTTAGCGTTGTCTCAAAGTAAAAATATCCTTTCATGGTAATTCACTCTTGGACTCTCTGCCGTTTGTTTTAAGACTGATTGCTTCGAATAGAATTATTCCTATAGCTCGCTTTCATCATCAAGGGAGCATAATTTAGGCATCTTATAATGGAATGAGAAGGTTAGCTCATTTTGCCATTGATGACACATTCTTGGGCTATATGATAATGGTAATTAGATTAAAAGTGCCCATCTCAATTTAAATGTAGTAGTTGCATGCCATTAACTTTGACACATGCAATCTCAGCAAGCATCAATTTTCTTCTTTCCATTTAACTTGGTTATGCTTCATTTCTGCCTTTAGGGTAGTGAAATTTAATGTATATTTTTAAATATGGCTGAGTTTTAGCATATTTAAAAACCAGACCCCTTAACAGGATAGTGTTTTAAAAACTTAATTGATGCTTCCTAATCATATAGTAAAATAGGGAATTTAGCCTACTAAATTTAAGCTACGTTAAACTCTCCTGACATATTTAATTATCTGGCAATAGTTAAGTTACTTTTTTTAGATATTTATTTACACGCTACTGGCAAACTCCAAGCGCCCTCTTATTCTTCCTGTTAAATCTGTACAGACTCTACTGATATCTGAGTCTCAGCCTGGCATACGTTACGCGCTCGATGCTAAGGTAACTAACGAAGCAGTTCCACTATGCAACTGTTTCCATGTCATCTCACGCTACTGCCTCTTGCATGTGTCTCACTCGCCGGCTCTATCGCGCTTCACAGTGTCCTCTCGAGTCGTATATGATAAACCAGTGTTCTTTGGTGCCAAGTCAATCATTGAGACGACCTGCAAAGCCAACCTCACAGAGTACTTTGCCGAGCTGGCCAGTCGGCTGGTGGAGGAAGCCAGCCGACTGGCGCCTGAGCAGCGACTTT